GGCGATTTTCTAGATTGTTGGAAATTCGATTTTCTATAAACTGGAAAATCCCCACGGAATTCCCATATGTACTCTTTGAAATTCGCCGAGCATTTTCCATAAATAATTTCCAACCTTACAGTGTAGATATCGCGAGTCGCTCTAAGACGTATAAAATTCTCTTATGAGTAGCAAAAACTCGCGGAGCGATTCGCGAGTCTCGGCGCGACCTTGGTAGATTCTTGCTCAAATAATAAACTTTTCTCTCATCACGAAGGATATTTTAAGACTCGCGGCGTGACTCTAAGAGAAATTGACGATCGCAGCATGATTTCAATATTTAACTGAAAAAATTGTGTCGACGACAATCGCTATAGCGAGACATGGCACGACTTCCTGATTTGAGCGCGATCGCGAATTAGAAATTTTTTGAAAAATAAGAATTCTTCGGGATCACGTCACAACAACCGCGATATTTTAACGATCACGATGTGTGTTGCGATGAATGTAAAGCGATTGTGGCACGAGAACCTCGTTCACGCTGCGAATGAGACGAGAAAGTGGACTTGGGTGTTTTATCGTGGAATTTTTATTTACATTAGTTAAAGCATAAAATCATAAATGATCCCGGAAAAAAACGTAGAAGTGATTCCATTTACAAAATTTTGTGAAAAGAATAATACAATTGATCTCGGAAACATTGAGATCAATTGTAGATGAATTAAATATGCAAAATTCATTCTCGGAAATTTTTTCTTATCTGTGGCTAATATATAACAGGACATATTTTTGACAGGACACATTTTTGTTTTTATAAAAGTTTCAAGTTCACTCTCATTTTTAAAAAATATTCTTAAAAAATAAGCATATAAATGATTTGATCAAACCCAGCGTGTTCTTTAGAAGTACAATTGAATAATTAATTTTAGTTTAATGAAGTTAGTAACTGCATCCATACAGGCCAGAAATAACAAGCAGCTTATACACTATTAACATACTAATCTCCACATGTATTGTGCTTAAAATTAGTGCTGACACATTTTTCCGCACGGTTACAAGGAAATTTTTTAATATTCAAAGTTAATCTTCTGTGAAATTTTTCATGAGTAATCTAATCATAAAGTTTCATGTTTAATGATGCTGTACATTTTGTGAAAATTAAATATTACGCAAAAAACTTCGATCGTTGTAACTCGATCGGGACATACAGTTTCGTTTTGGAAAATATTGTATGAGAACAAAAACTTTGATGTGATGCCACAAAGGCAGAATCTGCTTTAGTCTTTTGCATTCTTTGCAGCGCTAGAGATGTTAGAAGATTAGAATAAGAATTATCAAATCTTTTTTCCATCAGATGATAGATAATGTCAATTCACAACTCTACACACATATGTTTGAATCGCATTTAATTCTTGTTCTAGCTCATAAACGAAAAGACGACTCGACAATGTTATTTTTGACAGTAAAATCTATAATTTTCACCCATATAATGATAGTTACGGCTGTTGGCTATTCTAATTTTCAAACGCATTCAAATAACAAAGATTCACAGTAAGATTATTCATAATTAGTATTTTGCGTGGAATTATAATACCTTGCTTCACTCTCTTTTCAACAAAAAACGAGAAATGCTACACTAACTTTCGTTTGAAATTTATAATATGAACATCGGTTGTGCGTTAGAGCATAAGCCCACCCCCCAGGTTAGAAATCTACCTTAGTCCAGGTAGGTCTGTTCTGGACCAAAGTTTCAGGAAACATTGACCATGTCAAAGTGCGGTAATGAAATTTTTTTGGCGCCACTTGTAACTGTTCGTGAAAGGGCGTCACAGCAAGGGCCAAGAGTAGGCGTCTACGACATGCAAGAATTCTCATGCCAGATAAAGGACAGAGCGCTCGGACTTTTTTGTTTTGTAGTAAACATCTATGGCTAGGATTTCACAGAGTCCTATTTTTGAATTTCTCATTTACTGATTTCTGGTGCTTAATAGAACTTTAAAAACCGAAAAATCCTTAGACTGTTTCTTAGAAATCCTCATTTCTATAAAAAATGGAAGTATAATTTAAAAATCGTACTCTATCGAGTTCTAGCTACAGGTGTTATATAAAAATCAAAAAAATTATCTTTCTCTAATGTATCATTACTAAGAATTTCTGCACGTGGCGAAAGCCCTGAAACTGAAAAAGTCTTGAGAAAAATTAGAAAGCGATTAGAAAGTAGACACTTTGGGCTGTCCAACCATGTGCTTTTCTCAAAATCCATATTTTTGACGAAAATCGGCATTTCTGACCCGGGGGCCTTAAAAATTAAGATACATTGCTGCTAGTTTTACTCTTTCACATAAAATATCTGTTTCGATGATAGTCTAAACACATGTTCACTGATGTAAGATTGTTAGTTTAACTTATTCCAATTTTTCGCCTTTTTAGCATGGATTTCATAGTACCATTTCCTGATATAGCTCGATTTCTTGATATGGATGGTGGTAAAAATACTGAATTTTCTACAACTCAAGACACAAATGTGTATTATGATTACTTATGCAGGTATTTGTTTATACAGCTATTCAAATAGTTTGATGATCTAAAAATAGAAATGTATTTTCTATAGCATTTCACAAGATGCTGAGAAAGTCACCAATTTTTTTAATACATTTCTGGAAGAATATGGAGAATTGCCATCATTCGATATATTTGAAACATGTGATAAAACAAGCGCAACCCACAAGAGGAGAAGAAGATCCTTAAGGTAGGTTCAAAACGCATACATCAGAAAACTAATAGTCTGAATAATCTTGAAAAATTATATTATCTAAGTACAGAACTCGTAATTTAAGAGAAATGGCTAATATGTTCTCTGCATCAAACTTTCATACTAGTGAACAACTGCCTATCTATTATAAGCAATCAGATGAGTTTTTAGAATAATTTTCGACTCTTCTTTTTCAGAGAATCATGCGAATCAATCAAACACAATCCTCAAGATATAGCCTATTCCTGGAAGAACAAAGTAATTAAGGACGAAATATAAGTCTTTGACAAACTATCAAAATAGAAATTATAAATGTTTTAGTTACTTTGTGGTGGATTCAGGAACAGAGTCGTTGACAGACCTAGTAAAAGCTTATTTTACCAAATTATGCAAAAGTCAGCAAATCCAAAAACACGTGAAAGAAACAAAGTTTAGACGTATGCTTTTTTACAACTCTATCAATGCCAGTTAATTATTAAAATCTTTCTCTTTATACTTATAGTTCTTAAACTTCCCTAATGCTGTCCACTATAACGATGTCGGACATGATGTTTCGGTGTGTAATGCAATATCTTCAACTTCTGCCAAAATTGCAGACATCGGTGATCTAAAGTGATTTAAAATGTCTGATTTATTCATTTTGGAGAACAAACGTTGATTTGAGCAAAAGACACACGTTGTGATTAACATTGAACATATTCAAATCAAAACAAAAATTAATCTTGTTCAAATATTATCAATAAGTATAATCGCTTTTTCGAATCATCACATAGTGAGCTCAACTGTCAAAGAAATACATCAATCAACTTTTTGTCAGATTAGAAATATTTGTTTTTGTACTTTTTCAAAAAGAGTACATTTTTAGTTTTTGATTCTGCTTCCAGTTAACATTTATTATTAGACTAAATTTTTATTTTCTTCTTTTGTGCGGCAAAATAAAACGTCACAACACTACAAAACTATGCACACGTACAAAACATGATCAAAAGTATTGTTAGTCCATCTATCCTATGACATTCTAAGTAATTTAATTGTTTCTTCTTCTGCTTTGCTGAGTGTCTTTTATTACTGATTAATATATATTTATATATATATGACAAAAGATACCAAAAAATCGTGTTAATCCTACATGCACAACAAAAACCAGAAAATTTTTCGATTCTTCTATACCATTATATTTACTTACAAAGCAAACAATGATTGAAGACACGTTCTTTTTATGACACTTCAGGTTTCGCGAAACAAATCTAATGTACGAAAAAGATAGAGAAAACTTTCCCCTCTACTGCATCGATGCAACCATAACGTTCACCTTGACTATTATTATGTCACAAAATAAAAACAATGTGCCACAATACTGGCTTACCATAGGAAAAAGATTATCCTGAGAACAGATAATATAATACAACATAGAAAAAGAGATCAGATAGAATAAATGAAACATAGACACAGCACAAATTTAGAGTAAAATCGGCCTCCATTATTGTGTCTTTCTTACAAAACAACACACAATGCTGTGGAAAAAGGAAAAAGATAAGAATAAATTTGAAAAAACTTTCTTTTATACCTCAGAAATAGATGGGAAACACATAGGAGAAGTAGAAAGAAACACAACTGGAATAGAACAGCCATTTTGGCTACGCAATTATGAATTAAAATTACTAGGAAACAAGGAAATGCTATTTAAGCAGAAGAGTGAGATAAAGCAAACACTATATATATACAATGATAATTGACAACAAGAGAAATAAACACAAACAAAAAGAGACTAAAGTTTTTTTCTTTAAGTAGGTAAACTAAATATCCAGTCATTTGTTATATACAATGCAATTTCATCGTCTAATATCGACAAGAAACTTCATTCTAAGCACGTTCACCACGAATACGTCGTGCCAGTTGAATATCTTTTGGCATAATCGTAACACGTTTTGCATGAATTGCACATAAATTTGTGTCTTCAAATAAACTGACCAAATAAGCTTCCGATGCTTCCTAGAATAAAACAGTATGAAAATATATTAAAAGAAGCTCGTTACTTTATGTTTATTCGCAGTCCGTAGAGTTAATTATTTAGGTTAGATTTTTTTCAGGCTGAAAAACTGCAAAACAACTTTCCAACAGCATTTCGTTGGTAAGATAAGATTTCTTCCATCTATAGTAACACAAGACGAGGTTTTGTATTATGAAACGTGTTTGCAAATGTACTTTTAGCTCATAGTGACGAGAATTTAGATTTAAGATTTGAACATGTTATGCACTCAGGGAGACTCCCATTGACACCACTATTTGAACTTTGACTGAAAAGTAAACGCCATCTTCACACGTTTTTAATACTATTGTTAGATCTTAAACTTTACTTTGTTACGTGTCCTTTGCTATGCAATAGAGTGTTGAAACAAACTTTTGAAACCAAATAAAAACTAGTCAGTTTTTGAAAAATTACTCAGTAAGATTTAAATCATACTCAAGCCCCTCTGTAATCAAACAAGATAGAGAGTATAACATACTTGTAATGCACCAATAGCTGCCGATTGAAAACGTAAATCAGTCTTAAAGTCTTGTGCAATTTCACGCACCAAACGTTGAAACGGCAATTTTCTTATTAATAATTCAGTCGATTTTTGATAACGACGAATTTCACGCAAAGCTACCGTACCGGGGCGAAAACGATGTGGTTTTTTAATTCCACCGGTCTAAAACGTAAAAACAAAACAATATTGCTAATAAACAACCTTAATACTATTTAATATCCGATACTTACTGATGGTGCTGATTTTCGTGCTGCTTTTGTTGCCAACTAAAATATTCAAACATAGTATGGATCAGTTGATGCAAAAGGTCCACAAAACTTCCTATGTACCTGTTTTCTTGGGGCTTTACCACCAGTTGATTTTCGAGCAGTTTGTTTTGTTCGAGCCATATTTATTTATTTGTTCTAAAATAATAGCAAAAACATTCCATGATAAAACCTTGTGCGGAGCAGAAATAACCTACGTTGAATTACCTTGATAATTACTAGCAATAATAAAATAAACTTTGATAATTGCTCAAGTAGAGAGAATTGTAAAGCAAAAACACTTTTTATCTAAAACAAGAAACATACTATTTCTGCTGTTTTTCTTCTGCTTATCATATTCTAGTTAGAAAAGTTAGAGCAAAGTACTGGAGATGGCATGCAGGCATAAAAGACTGAATGCAAAAGTTTACATCGTGTGAGAGAACCCAACCATATATGACGCTTCCCAGAACAGAACAGATTTGAAGCTACTCTCGCAAAAATCAGGGCGTTTAGAAGAGAAGAATCCTTATTTTCTCAGCCGTTGAATGCAAGAAAGAAAGGCACACCACTGAAAGTCTTTGTCTTTCGAGCAGATTTAGCTCTTAAAAATTTCATATTTCTGCAAGTGTTTTATCCCACCCCAATATTGTATGCTTACTCCCACCCGAGGATGAATAAGTAGAGTACAAAAATTATCTTCTTCGTAAAAAGCTAACACTCATATGTAACCAAATCTTTCTCACAAAAGAGGTAATATCACTTAACTCAAAAATGCCAGAACGCCTGTTACTGAAAGTTCTGCGGTTTAACTGGCATTTAACCATTTATAGATATCAAATATCAGAGACAACAGAAAACGACAAGATATATAAAATCGATAAATCTCTTAGGGTTTCTTCTGTACCATCAGATCTCTAAAATGTATACAGCGGCCGAACATCAAAAATTCTCAAATCTAAACCTAAAATTCTATAGACAAATTCAATGTAACCGCAATTCTTATCACATGCAAGGAATATTAGCGTAACAACTACTGATATACAAATAGTTTTAAGTTATTATTGAGTAAAGATTAGAGCAATTGCTTTGTAGCTTCATTTTTGCGATAATCTTGAGCTTCGAACAGAACAGGTACAGAAACGGCAAAAAGGTTAATTAGAATAGAAGAAAAACACCTGATACACACACGCGACCAGTGACGAGGAAAAGAAAACCGCAATTATAAAACAAAATACAATAAATAAATACTACTTTCCTTCTCAAAATATGACTCAAAACTGACGAAGGTTGAATAATGACAATGAAGTAGAGGATAATGATTGATGTTTAGTCTGAGAAAGAATTTTTCATGTAGTCAAACGCATGAGATTGTAGTGTAGTAGCGTGTTAAAAGTTTTTAATGCACTTTGCTTGTGAGTAGACTGCCAGAACTCCAACCAAACTCTGAACGTTAGAATGATGAGTCACTGCGCTTAATATGTCTTTTGATGTTTCTGTTATATTACTGCAAGGTAACGCTCGTTTGCACTTGCTCGGTTCCTTGACTTTCGGAACTTATATTTGCAAACAACCTTCCATGAGCTGGAAGTAAAGACAGCGCTCACACCTCCCTTCGATCGGTGTTCGCTAGGGGACTATCCAAATTATGTTATAAATCTTTCTCTGATTTGGCGTTTAAGCGTCTTAATCTAATATAAATCTAAAAAGTTTTCTGGACACCCTCCAAAGATCTCCAAAGGTCTAAAAATATTTCTTAACTGAAAACAGTGAAGTCTGGAATAAGTTACTCAAAAAATTTTGACTTACTCAGCAGATTCTCCAGCCCCCACCAAAACTTCTATCGAAAACACTGAACGGCTATATAATAATAATGTCTCGCAGTCATTTGATAGATAATAAAAACGATGATTCATAAGACAACATATCATGAAACAGTTGCTTGCAAGCGACGTTGTGTCCTACATAAAAATCACGCTAGTACATCAGAGCAATTAGCGCTTAAGAAAAATGTAATACTTTGAAGTTTCCTCAACTTTCGGGATTTGTAGTAGATGACTGGAAATAGGAGAGTTTCATCTTCGGTACCGGAGGCATTGAATAGTTTGAGAATGACTAGAATCATACAAGTAAATCTTGAGAAAGGTGAGCTAGAAAAATAATCCATCGTGTGCGTACGATCTAGAAAATAACAGCAAAAAGTAGAAAGTGATAGCTTCCCTAGAGAACGTAATTGGGGCCAAGTACTTCGCCTGCGTAATGCAGCCGGTATGTGCCTTTTCTCCACAAGTAAATTTACTTGTAAGTACTTGCCAAGTACTTTCAGGAAATACTTCTTAGCAATAAGGCAAGTATTTCGATCATTTGAGAAGTACTTAGCAGGTAATCAAGTACTTGCATCAAGTACGTTCTCTAGGGTTACGCATCGCATTAATTAGAACAATACAGAGATTGTATGTAGCATACAGTTGTAATAATCCTGGTGTATTTTAGATGATTTGTTTTCTGTGGATTAGCATCCGCTAACGTAAAAACGGATTATCCAATCGTGATGTGCTCCAGATTTTTGTTCTATACTCCGTCAAAGATCTCAGAGATCAGAATTTGCCATTTTTGCCTATAAATCATGATTTTTGACATTAATAAGCATTTTTGTCAAAAAATATATGTTTGTAATCAACATGAAAACCCACAGTAAAAGGGGATAAGCTTTATCATTTTGTCGAAAATCTAGGCCTTTTGCACTTACTTCATGAGCCAGCAAGACCCGGGTTAAATCGAGCTGAGATTGTGCTATGCGAGCATAGCTTTATTCTCTGTGTTTGTACATCTTTGAGACAGGAGTGTGTCCTGTCTGTGTACCACAGTTAGATTTGTTTTGGTATTTGTGTTTTCTTATGACTAATAATACTTTTACGTTGGAAATCTTTGCTTTCAGACGATATTTAACGAAAAAAGATAACTAATTAAGAATGAGCGAACAACAAGCGATTACTAATGCCGCCACTAGTTCATATGATTTGTTTTCACTGCAAACACCATCAGAAGTTGGAAAAACTCATGAACTTTACAAAGCATTTCGATTGGTATCGTCAATAATAAAATCTCCGTTAAGTTTACTTTGTTATACAAAGATGGATAAAGGATTAGATACTAGTGAACAAGTCAATCATCATATTTCAAATTGTATCAGCACACCTGGAGATTTAAAAGATCTTCCACTTTCTGAAGGAGAAAGCGGTCGTGTATTAGCCGATGATCCATCATCAAAATATATTGCTTTACCGAAAAAGTTGATCGATCGTGGCGATAATTTAAATAATGAATATGAACGTTTAGCATTTCGTTTGATGTTGCTCGTTATTTTGGGTCATGAATGATTCGATGGCCTGGATTCGATTCCTAGTCTGGTCCATCATTTTTCTTCCACACCAACAAAGTGTAGAAAGTATTGCTTGTGTAACGTGGATCTGTCAGCATCGTTATGTGAAGATATTACTTTCCGAGAATTCTAGCTTCCTTGATGCAGCTCAAGTCATGTTTGAAGTAAAGTTAAATGCCTTTTCGAAAGAAAACGATTCGAATTTGTAAACTTTTTCCAGACTGGGTTATTCGTAGACTATCTTACTCTCCAAAGTAGATAGAATATTATCTGAGCGTACATCAAGTGATCCGCTAATGTATGTTGTTCTCTGCAGATCAATGACGAGAACGCAAATAAATGGAACAAACGTAGCTACCCAAAATTATGTAAAATGAAAGGGTAAAAGAATGGGAACGTCAAGTATTGGAAATGTTTTGTCGGATAACGCTTTATGAGACGATGAAAATTGAAAGAAGCAACCGTTTTCGTGCTCTATGAGCATACGATTACCCTTTCAACAGATGATATGAAGTTCATTCTTGATCTGAAGAATTGTCAAGATACATCGAGAACGATTTATAAAAAATTATTTGATTCAAAGCCTTCTCATATGGGATCAACTATTCTCACTAGAAGTCTTCAACAGCATATGGAAGTTGTACCTAAAAGTGATATCGATCCAGTCACTTCTACAATGCTAAAGCGTCTAGTCAAAGATGATGCTGTTAATATCGAAATAAATGTGGCCAATCCTTATGAGACATTGGCCAGATGATCCAATACCAGTTGGAATAATTATGCTATTTTTATATAGAAAAGATGATATAAATTTAGAATGGCATTATACTAGTTTGCCATCCGACCCGAATAGCACTCAAAAAGCTTGTCGACGCTATATACCAGATAATCCTCAATCTGTTGAAATTTCACCACACACAACAAGAACGCTTTCGTTTATTTTATTTGAATCAAATGCTGATGTCGATCAAAGCGGCGATTATCGATTAGACATTATGTATCGAGATCAGGTCTGTGAGACAGATTACAATGGTGCAATTATTAATGAGATTGTCATTAATGAAGAACGATCATATTCTATTAGTTTAATTGATTAACGTTTTTCTGATAATAAGGAAAATGCAGATACATTGAACAATTATTATATTTACAAAACAACGTCCTCTGATTCATCAATCGATATTGAAAAAATCGTTCCGTCATCAGAGACATGCGTGACGCCCCCATAAACAATATCCATATTTACGAATTTTTGACAGTCAGATTTTTATGGTTTTGATTTACCATAAGTAGGCTTTTTCGTTGTTCTTTGTTGGGTTTTTCTTCATGTTTCATGTTCATCAATTCATTTTTCTTAATCTTTGACTTGAACTTGTACTCTTGACTGTGGACGAAATCAAGACGATCTCTTCCTTTCTCTCTCTTTTCTCCTACTATTATTTTCTTTGACGGGTACGGTACACTTCAAAAGAAAAAGACAACAAAAATTTTTAACTGTATTTTTGTTTCGAACTCGTTTCACGTATATTGACAGTTGCTTTATTTGTATTTGTGTGTCTATCGACTACTATTACTGCTAATTTTCCTCTCCTTCGGTGACTCTGGAAACAAAAAAAATGCAATTAATTGAACAAGTACAATCACCATTAAATTTTGATCAAACATTTGATGTTAATGTTCTGGATGCTGTTATCAATACACTGTATCGTGAACAAGGCGATGCTGTAAGCTCGAATATTAAGGTTTAGGTTGAAATTTGAATTGTTTATTGTTTTTGTTTTTGTTTTCTTTAGTAATGAGAAGCAAGTGAAATGCTGAATTTATTACGTGATCATCTCAACTCTTGGACAAAAGTTGGTAGTATTTTGGAATTCTGACATTGTCAAGAAACGGTATTATGTATTAGAAATATTGGAAAAAACAAAAAAAACAAGATGGAAAGCATTACCGAAAGAACGATGCAAAGGTTAGTTCTTTGAAACAAAAGTAACATCTGTCATGTATTCCTATCTATCTTAGCTATCAAGCAGTACATTGTGAGCTTAGTTATTTCTTATTCATAAAATGCGGAATTAATGGAACGAGAAAAGATTTATTTGAATAAACTTGATGTTATACTAGTACAAGTAAGTGTTTTTTCAATAGATTATACTATTTCAAAATCAATGATATTGTTCTAGATATTGAAAAATGCATAGTCAAAATACGACCAACATTTATTAGCGATATTGTTGAAGCTAGTAAAACAAGTGAATCGATGTGTCAAAATAATTTAGAAATTTTAAAATTATTAAGATAATAGTGTTTAGATAGTTTTGCTTTACACTCAATCGTTAATGTCTGATACATAATTTTAGTAAAGAGGTGTTTGATTTTTTATCTGGGAAAATGAGACAAGCAAAAGCAAAACATCTGAAAGATACAATGTGTAACGAATTTACAAAAATATTTCAACTCTGCGAATATGTTGTTGTACGTATAAAAAATACTCTTTATGAGGATTCTTTTTTGTTATAAACGTTCTTGTTAGGATAAATCACGTCATCCACCGTTATTGTTATTAACATTAGAAACATTGTTACGCTTTCTTAGCTGGATGCCATTAGGGTACATATTTGAAACAAAGATGATTAATACTCTGATTGAAACATTTTTTACTGTTCCTATGTTTCATAATGTCACGCTGGGATGTTTAACAGAAATTGGTATGTTAATTTACGTGTATTTTTACTTACAAATAAACACACTGTTTTGTTCTTTTTTAGGAAATTTTCAAGTATCGCAGTATGAAGATAAATTTATTGATTTTTTTCGACGTACAATGCAACAATTAAAAACGGTATGTAGAAAATCGTTCTCTGTGCATATTAACCGAACTTTTTACTTGCTGACTTTGTACTAGAAGGTTTTTTTCATCGTTTCTCGTTTAGGTTTTACCTGTGACAATCAATTTAAAAGAAGCGTACTGTACAGCTAAAGATGATGATCAAAAGTTTATAGAAAATTTGGCATTATTTCTATCATATTTTTTAAAAGAATGTGGAATATTAATTGAGCGTGCGCAAGATTTAAAGGATACATTATTGTAAGCATTACAATATCTTGTGCTCATATCGGAAGTAGAAGAAATAGAAATATTTAAAATATGTTTAGAATATTGGAATATACTAAGTGCTGAACTTTATCGTGAGGTACCATATCAACAAGCTACACTATATATAAGAAATAATAACAAAAATACAGAAACAGCTCAGACACGCAGACAATTCTATAGTACATGTTTCTCTCACTTTTTTGTATTTCTAGGGAGGAGATATTTATGCTTTAGTAAAAAACAATGATAATCAAGAAAAGTGGAGTTCACAGTTAAATTGCCAAATATTCGTACAAAAGATCATTAAATATTTAAGTTTAAATTATCCATCAGACGTGACTGTATGTTCTGATTGACCACCAACCATTGTCAATGTTGCAATTATCTGTATCCATCCATCAGCAAATACCAAGGATAGACTAAGAGTCAAAGCCGCAGCAGAAGAGGATGAGTATGATGGAGACTCGAACTGAGGCCGTTAGAGCATTGACTTGTGTTTAGTCATATATATGTTACGGGCTAAACTGGAATTCGGTCAAACCTGAGATTTGTCAGGTCAAAACTGGAATTCTAGTTTTGACTAGAGAAATATTGGTCAAAACTGGAATTCTAGTTTTGACTAGAGAAATATTGGTCAAAACTGGAATCTTAGCAAATCTGACAAGAGTGAAATGCAATTGTTATTTAAAATTGATAATCATGCTTTTTATATAATATCATATTGATATATCATGAAATCAACTGTTATTTAAATTTTTATAATCATGCTCTTTGTTTCTCTAATAAAGACTGAAGACATTCTTGTACTGCTAAAGCATACTCAAATCCTTACTAAATACTGATCTACTTAACCGCGAAAAGGTGGCATGATATCTAAGTAGTTTTTTCATTTTGTGTATTAATATATGTGCACTCAAATACGAACATTTACTAGTAAAACAATCTATTTCATTATGTACATATGCACTCATCTGAATGGTAATAAAGAAATCTGATATGTATTTACAGAACTTTTCTGAGTTTCAATCCTAAAAAAATAGAATAAAAATGACTACATCCGCAGTAGAAAATAGCTATGTACATTTGTTTTCATCAATATCAATCAACATGTAGTGTTAGCAGTGTACCTGAAAAGAACATTATGTTTTTTTAAACCATATTCTTACATTTACCGTTTTTTGAATGGCATTTGGTGGAACAGGCGACCCCGGCCTTTTTACAAGGACAGTGTTTAGTGGCACATTGGCTTTTACAGTCACAAGTAGCTCCATTTATTGCTCCACGGACATATAATTTCAAAGCTTCAATCAAAGACAGTTCCTTCTCTAAATCAAATAAATTAAGAGACTTTAATTCATTAGGACAGCTACTTCGTAGATCAATAAGACTTTCTATACCAAATCTGTCTTTCAAGAATCCGAATTGACACGCTAAAAAAAACATAATCGTCATCTTTCTTTTCTTTACTAACAACTAATAGGAATGTAAAATAGGAATGTAAAATTTTTGAATCTGTATTTATCCTGTCAACAATATGAATTCGCACTCCAACACAATCATTTTTTTTTTATACATTTCTGCCAAACTACTTAGATGTTCATCATATGCTTTTCTTCGTTTATTAGCTGTTTCTAAATAATTATCTTGCACTTTATGCCGAATACTTTCATGTCTTATTGGGTTATTTTCTGATGAATTATAGTTTATAAAAGATGCGGATGGTTGAGAAACACAATTAGTTTTTGAAATAGAATTCGTAGCAGGTGCTGTAGATATTGACTGTAAATCTGAAAGTACTACGTTATTTTCGTTACTTAAATATGTGACTGGGCTGAAAGTTAAAGTATGTAAGTCAAAAAGTGTTGTTGATACTCGTTGAGGAGATGGAGGTGAAGCAAAAGATATTAGATTTTCTGTTACTGGGTTGTCATTAATAATCAACGGTTGTTGAAGTGAAACATGCAGAGTAGATGGTGATAAATCAAGAAGGCATTGAGAAGTAGATTGAGAGATGCTAGCATTTAGAGGACTGGGTAAACATGTTACATTTGAATTATGAAGAGATTCTTGGTGATCAATATTATCAATTGTCTTAGATGTACTAACAGAAATTTCTTTATCAGCATCATTTTCCTGAATACTTTCAATCGGTGAAGGTAAATGTTCTTCATCAACAATATCTTAATGTTTTACAATTTTCCAAAATTCGGAATCACCTCGAGGGTGTTGACCAAACATGATTTCGTAGGGTGTGGCTTTAGTAGTGTCAGATGTTCTTGTATTGATGCCGTAAAAACTACAGGCAATAAACCTGCTGACCAATGTGTTGTGTACAACTACTTCTTTGGCTGATTTGTTTTCTAATGGATAAGCCCAAGTGAATTTTGAAAAATGATCAATACAATGTAATATCCAACAATAAACAACGTCTACAGAAACAACATCAGGTCTTGTTCTCATATCTATTAAATCAATTTGTAGACGTGTCATAACACCTAATGATATGATAGGTTTCGAAACAACTGGCTGTTTTAATGGTTTTCGAAGTTGACACAGAAGACAATGCCTTAAGAATATTTCTACAACAGCTCTAGGTACCCATGAATAATGCGAATTAATTTCGTTTTTTATTTTTCGAACAACAAACAATATCAGTTCTAGCAATTTTCTGAATTATAAAGTTTTTCCTAGCCCAAAATACAAACTTTGTAGGAACTGATTCCGAAGATGTACCTTGCTCTAATAGTAAACTTTTGAGTATTTTATCATGTTTCTTTTCTTATGAATGTTTTCTCTCGATACTTTTCTTGTAATGAAGCAACATATTTTTCAACGTCATCAAAAAACCCTTTTTCAGAACCATCAGTTATACCAGGTGCGCAAGGAAGAGATGAAGTGTCTGTAGAAGACAAGGAAGTAACAGATGATGAAGCAACAGCTGACATCCTAATTATTTAAAAGAATAATTAAAACTTAATTACCTTTAAAGCTAAACAGGAACTTGTCGATAATACTTTAGTAATTAACGAAGTAGATAATATTCAAAAAAGAAAGTAAGCAGAAGGATAAGATTCTTTATAATACTCCTGACAAAAACAGTTGACAGTTAAAATGGTTGCTGATCACCGCCAAATACAACTTATTTATATAATCTCATCCAACAGTAACAGCGGGCGAGGAATTAATGATAAAATGTTCACAAGATGATCGACTAACTAGAACAAAACTAGAATTACAGTTTTGCCCGTAACATATACATATCAATGGTCGCGAGAAAGTAAACAACAACTTTCTTTCCTAATTATATAATAATCGAGATGCTTGATTTATATAGTTTGTTGTTAATGATTTTGGCTTCTGGGGAGATTTCTGCTGAGAAAAAGGCTTCTGCCCTTTCAACCGAACGCCGGTCGAAAATTCGTTCGTGGACAATCCTTTGGCCTATTCAGATGGAACTAAACTCTTTTAACTGATGTCTCGAGGAAGGGGGAAGTCAAATATCAGTCCGCAACACATAGCAACTACGCGAACATGCTCGAGAATGATTCGAAAACAAACATCCTTACTTTTTTTTTATTGAACCACACACATTGAAAAGTTTAAAACAACTTTAGCCTGATTGTTTACTAGTGGTGGTGATGAGAAGAACGCGCTTGCGCTTATGTTTATCGACGACATGCCCATAGTCGAGTGATAGAAATCACGGACTCATAAGACGAATTGAGGTCAAATCGAGATCAGAGGGATACGTGTCGACTTTGAGATCGAAGTGTTTAAGACACGAGAGTCTTGTAAGAATGAGAGCTAACTGTTCAAAGTCACAAGCATAGAATGCGATACGCAGCCGGGTGAGATAGGGGAATCCAACAGACAAGAGAAACTGTTCAAAATCGAACTGAGATGATAAAATACGTACGATAGTCAGGCAACGAGCATAAGATTTCATGAACGACGTAGTAGAAGACAAACTGTTTTTACACGCACGTGTATTCTGCAAAAAACCATGTGTGGGTGTTTCTATCTCTTTCTGTCTCTCTAACTGGTGTAAAGCATAGTTTGAGATGATGTCCTATCGGCCAAAACTTGATCTTTGGAAATTTCCAAAGATTGACTACCAGGACGTAGTTAAAAATAACTTACTTTCATTGAAAACTAGCAAAGCAGTTTCAATAAAAGTAACCCAAAGGATTTTTTTGATGCCAAAAATTTCCATACGTTCAAATGCATTAAAAACGTTTTTCGTACGTTTAATGGAGTCACATGTATTCTAATTAATTTGACGCATTCACACGCCTTAAGAAGTTAATATGAGCAAATGCGTGAAATCATTTAATGTATTCGTACAAACTTCAACAACAACAACAACAAATGTTTGAAGTTTTCAAAGCGTGTCATCTCATTTAAACGTATAGAAAAGTTTCGTCTTTTTACTCAATAAATCTTGTTTCTTGTTCAAGATACCAACTTCTTGGATTCGAGAATACCATGCATGCTAAATTTTTTAACAATTTCTGCAGAAATGTGCGTTTATGGCACTTTTTTGGACACTCTAGCGCGACGCTAGAAAACGCATACTTCTTATATGCGTTTTCTTGCGCTGTATTTTTACCACGCAAAAATAAACAAGAAAACGATAGCTTTTTGCCTATTATCGCAGAATTTTTTTTGCGTTATACCCCGTATGTTTTTTTAGGTAAACGCAGAAGAAATTGGTGTGTGTGATGTTTCCGAGACACGGACATTTTACTACAGGTTTTTGCAAAAGAACCGACGAGAAGTTTTGCAATTTTTTGCATGAAATTTTGACACCAGCGGAAAGCGCAAGTTTCGACTTCAAAGAAGCTCTCTCTCGGAGGAAAAGTAATCAGTTCTAATGATAAGTTATACGGAAGCTATAGTCTGCGTGTAACTTCTCAGAGCTGAACACTTTTAGGTAAGAAGAGTAAGTTAAATAACTTGCAAATTTTCTCTCTGCGCAATATTTAAAGGCATTACCAAGTTCATGCATTAGAATGTCTTAAAAAATAATTTCGTCCATTCAACTCATTCACTCGGACTCAAGTTCGTTTAACGCGTTCACATGCATTTGAAATTAATGCGTGTGAACACATTAACACTTTGCAACATCGAAAATCGTACGTACGTGCGATAGAAAAGCATTTTCAACTCTTTCTGACATCACCATTAGATTCCTCTCAAAAAGTTTGGTCTAGGACGATCCTTTCTACCCAAGCAGTCATACTACACAGGCCTTAAGGCTCTTCCGAACAGTTGAACCTTCTGTTCATATGGTCATAGATGAATGCATTCAAATTCGTTAGAATTTAATGCGTTTTCATGAATGAAACAATTTTCATGTGCTTTAATGTATAAAACTTTTTTAAAGTATTTAAACGTGTTAAAACTGCTTAATGCATGCAAATCCCATAAGTTTTAACGAATTGTAACACATTCAGAAATCACAATGCGTTCTCAGACGTTGAACAGTTTTAATGCACATAAACTCGTTAAAATTTCTTGTATTTACATGAATTCAGAAAATTTAACACGTAAAAATGCATAAAAAAGGCTTAATACATTCGAACGCCTTGAAACCTAATGCCTTCAAATGGATTTGAACATACTAATACCTGTCAACGCCTCGAAAGTTTTTAAGGTCTTTGAATGCCTTAAAGTTCAATGTATTCGCATGAATTAAGAAATTTTAATGCGTTAAAGTACGTTAAAAGAGTTTTAACGCGTTGAAGAGCATTGAGTTTATCAGGCGTTAAAACTCAGCATTATCCAAACGTATTAAAAGCGTTAGTGGTTAATTTAATTTTAACGCAAGAAATGCCTTAAAAAAATTTAATATGAGACTAACACGCGTTTTTTCGCTAGGCTAACGCGTTAACTATCCATTTTAAGTCGTTTTAACGTATTAACGACTTTTCAATGCATGCGAACTTTTCGTTTACTTTTGGTGTGCTAAATTTAACGCGTGTGACCGCATTAGAATTCTTCTTTTTAAGTCAGTTAACGCATGTGAGTTTATTAATATTTAATGCTGTTAAACGGGTTAAAAAATAGCTAATGCGTGCAAAGAAAATTTTTCATATCAAAAAAATCCTTTGGGAACCTTGTTTGGTTGACAATTCGAATTTTAGCCTTTAACTATCGTAGATTAAAAGTTTTATAATTCGGCCATTTTTAGTCCAAACTGACTCAGATTTTCCGGAGACAATCAAAACAAGTCACAGACAGAAAATCAAATCGAAAGAACGATCCAAAAGTCTGGTTACCTGCTGAGGTTTTGGAGGAAGTTCCTAGAAAACCACCTTGGTAACAAAAGTTTACAAGCGCTCTTTTTGACTCGATCCCGTATCTTTGACTTGTTTTGAGTGTGTCCGGAAAATCTGAGTCAGTTTGGACTAAAAATGGCCGAATTATAAAACTTTTAATCTACGATAGTTAAAGGCTAAAATTCGAATTGCCAAAATTTTTTTTTCTGACTTTATTTTCATTTACACGCTCATACAAACATTGCTACGGTAATCAGCATTGCGAATAACCTATGTTTCACGGGTTTTTGAGGTCCCCAGATGTGTCTGCACTGAGATAGGTATGTCCTCGGAAAACGTCTGTATCTCCAGAACCTCGAAGGATGACGCCCTCGCTTGACTCCTGTTTTTTAGAGAACACTTCGGACTATATAGCCATAAAAAAAATGAGTATATTCCTATGTGACTTTCGGAAAATCCAAGCAAGTTTTCCAAAGATTCTCTGGAAAACCGGCTTCAGAGCTCTTTCCGAAATTCGCTTTTGCTTACAGAAACATGTAGTCAGGTATCTAGTTTGCAAAACTGAAAACCGCAGGTCGCTATCTCATCTCTGTGAATAGTTATTAGCAAAACATTCACGACCACCGTGTTTTGGAACGGGTAGTAGCACATATTCTCCTGCTTTTGACAGATAACATGACAATTTTTTTGTTTTCACAACATGCATTTTATGGCATATCGAACTCATTCATAGTTTTCTTTATCTTTCTGTCATCAAAATTCTCCTTTTTTTGTCATCGTTAAAGAATGTAGACTAAAAGAAATGTTCTTTAAAGAGAAGTAGAAAATGTTATCTTTGTTCTATTCATACATAAATTGAGTATCTGAAAAAAGAAGATTTTTATCATATATCGTATTAACATGTTCAACTCAAGTTATTCATCGTCCGATTATATATTAAAAATTAACTATTTATCAAAACAATTGAATGGTGACTATAAGGTTTTGACCCCAGAACGGGATATATGTAGGTTTGTAGAGGAAGAGTTTCTCTATCCAATGATGTATATATTATCAAATTCTGTTGCGTACTGTGAGAGAAAATTAAATTAAAAAATCATAGATTTGACATTTTTTAAAGGGGGTCCTCCTATACCAAAGCCAAAATAGTTTAGGACCAAATCAAAACCTAACCCAGTCATGCGTATACCGTTCGACAGCCCGCACTGTCTACGGAGAAATCACATAGTCACATTCAAGGCATCGGAAATGTATCGAGGTGCTTGTTAGACACCGAGTCAAGACTTTTCTGACAAGAGAAAAGGAGCGATCTGCATTAGTTCTTTCTTGTCACTATACAGTCACTATACTCGTACGAGCGCTCCCCCCTTTCCGAAAGTGAAAACTTTTTCTCGAGTTTCTCAAGAACGGCTCGACCAAAAATTCTGACACTTTCAGAGTAGATACATCTCAACTAGCAGAGCAAAAGTTGTCATAGATTCAGAATTCCCAAATGCTCCCTTCTATAAGAAATAAGGAACGCAAGGGCTAAAAATGACCTATAAGTTTTCTCCCCTGCAAACATTCAGAATTCATTTTTTATGGCCAGGTTTTTTTTGTAGCAACTAGAACCAAATCAGGGTGTATATATTTTTTCTTTGAAAAATATTGTTTTCTTCGCGTAGGAGAACCAAAATACTGGAAGCCCTGGCAAACAACGTACTTTTTTGCTTAGGGCAAATTTTGTAAAGGGAGGGAAACTTCAGATCATTTTTCGCCCGTGCGTTCCCTATATCTTATAGAAGAGAGCATCTGGGAATTCTGGTCTATGACAACTTTTGCTCTGCTAGTTGGGATCTATCTACCCTGAAAGTTTCAGAATTTTTGGTCGAGCCGTACTTGAGAAACCCGAGAAAAATTTTTCACGTTTGGAAAGGGAAGGTGTGCGCTTAAACGGACAACCTTAATCTGTTGCTTGTTTATTTATTTTTGTTAAACTCATTCAAATCCAATACATGAATTAATCACGTAGGGAAAGCTAGCACCAGATTCGAATATTTTTCGCACAGATTCATTTCTAAACTTGGTAGAAACTGAAGAACAGTTGGACCAAATAGAGCTCGACAATCTCTGCAAAACGCTGTATTTCATGTCTCAAAATAAACAATGGTTTGTGAGAAAAACGTAAAAAAACTCCTTTTTTTAATATGAAAACTTATAGTTTTTCAGAAAACATTGCACAGATTCATTCCACGACTTGGTTCAAAGCTAAATTGCACATTGTTAGATCGAACTCATCTAGACCCATACAACAGTGTCCTCTGATGATCCCTGTCTTAACAAAAACATCAGAAAGTTTTCAAAAAAAGCTTCTTCTCTGTGGTATTTTGTCAAAAATGGCCTATTTTTCGTAGATGCTTTGTAAAGAACGAAAAGGTTTTTCGAAAGAGTTAAATGCTTCTCATACCTTTTTCGTCATGCCTAAAGAACGACTGTGTTATTCTGTAAACCAGAGAGATCAAAGACGGCATTCGCATACTCTAACACCAGATCGTTACTGTATTACACATGCTGTGAACACTGTCCTCTCGTACAGTTTGATCCACTTCGATATCGTTGAATAAATTTGATAAATCTCCAGACGTTTTCGTCGCACGATCCGTACACATTTTGAGCTGTGATCTTGGTTTTTATTCTTTGTAAGGCTAAAAGCCAATATATTTTAGCCTGGTGTCAGCTATCGGATTCGACGAGATCAAACGTTTGTTTCAGAACGAAAAATATACATTTTTAGTTGTATGTCCCTGTGGTACAGTGGCGTACGGAGAAGATTATTGTTAATCTTTACATATAAAGTTCGAATATGTGCAAGAACTTCTTTTTCATTTTTCTTTTCTTTTGTTCATTGCATTGCTTCATTTTCATTGCTTTATATATATACCCGCTGCAACTAGTACTGAAGCGGGTTTGTCCCGCTGCAGCTAGTACACCCGCTAAATCTTACCCTTTTAGCTAGTTGCAGTCAATGGTGAAGAAGGCGGCGCTTCTGCAGCAAGAGCAGCTAAAGGAATGGACACAATAGAGGACGGGGGTCTTATATCGCGTCCTAGCGCTCATAACTTTGAAGGGGGTCTTCTAAAGCGTTCATAAAAAAGAGACGATTTTGAGCTGAAATCGCTTGATCGAGCGTTCGCAATGTGTACAAAGTTGTTTATTCAGCTGATGACCGCTGTTTATTTTTATTTTTTTACCATCTTAACTCGTGAATTTTTATCTCATATCATGTTTATAAAATCTTTAATTTTTCTTCAATCGTTCATTCACGATGCTGAAGAACTGTCTTCATTGTCGTGGTAGTAGCTGCGGTTGTTGCTCTCCCTGTTGTTATTAAATTTGAGGTAGCTGGTACAGTTATTGGATCATTTTCTTGTTTTATATCATTCTCTCCTTCTGAATTTTCTTCCTCCTGTTTTTCGTTCAATTTCTTCAAATTATCGTTCTTTTTAGCTGTTCCTTCATCATCACTGCTACTGCTAACTGAACCAATATCAATTCTAAAAAAATTATCATTCAATGTTTGTTGCAAATCATCAACTTCTATGTCAGAATCAATTGAGCTGTCAACTTCCAAACACCTTAGGTTGGAACTTTCAAAAGCATTAGTCGGTCTACAGATGTGTAGAAGAGAATGTATAGATTGGAGCAAAAAAAACAAAATGGAAAGAATGAGTCATTTTGAAAAAAATAAGTTACTGCAAAGTATTAAATTTTACGAAAATTGAAACTGCAAAAATCAGTATTTTGAGCTTTGAGAATCGAGTTTAAGACATTTCAAAAATTCCTTCGGTAGTTTCACGGAGAATTTGATGCTGAACAATTTTTGTTCCATAACGCTTTCCTAAAACGAAAGACTGTTCAGGGCTTTCTTAAAAATACTTTTTGTACTAGAAATGATATGGGCAAGTCAAAGTCAAGTTTCTCCGTCAGACTTCACTCGATAACGGCAAAAATTGTTTTTTATATAGATCTCAATGTGCTCTCTCCAACGAAACATGGAAGGTTCTATCTGCAATGAGGCAAGGCAATGAACTACACTGTTTTCGACGTCCCGGGTATCCCGCCCATCCACTTGCACATATTCTTTTAGAGACAAAAAGACGTATTCAAAAAAATTAAATTTTTCTCTCAGTTTCCGTCATGAGAATGCAAAATTCGAATATATTCAAAATTCTTTCTAGTTTAGGTAATTTTTGGCATATGTTTCTAGATCCTTCAGAAAGTCAATAATGTAACTTTTTCCTCATCATCTCAATTATATTGAGAAAAAGCACGATAGAAAAGTATAGACTCGATAGCTCAGTGGACAGAGCAGACAGAAACAGAATTCTTATGGCGTGCGTTCAATTCCTGCTCAACTACTATATATTTTTGCTTCTTTTTGTTTCTTTCTCTTAAAAACTTTCCGAAAGCTGTTTTGCTTTCCGACTGACAGTACCCCGTGCCAATTTTGGTGGATACATATGCAATCGACTATCCTCCATCCGAAAATGTAGTTTTCATCCACTCTAGTTCTATTTAAAAATTTTACCTATCGGTTATATGAGATAAAGTCAGGAGAACATTATAAATTCTTATAAGAGAGAAGAATAAATAAAAAAGAGTGCCCTTACCTTCTTAGTCAAATAGGACGAACCAATCAAAAAAGACGATAATCTAGCACTAACCTCACTCCTAGGATTTAGTCCTAGCGTATCTTAACCCAGCATAACTGAGAAATGTTGTGAATTTATGTGATTTCACAGAAAAAGGGCACAATGTAATATAAAGCTAAAAGTTTTCTGGACACCCGCTGAAGATCCGAAGGGAGGCTGCAAGTATTTCTGATCAATTCGCCATGATAGACTATCTGTTTTCTGTAAGTTTTATTATCCGTATACGACTTTTTTTGTGTTATCAAAATGGACTGATTTCTGGCTACATCTATCTCCCAACCACAGAAACGTTTGCTTAGTTTTTATTCTCTCTGCGTCAGTAATTATTTTTCCAGTCATCTCTTTGAATATTTTCTCCCTTCTGTAAAAAATAATTTTCTACTTCTCTCTCCCGTGATTCGCTTATCCATAGAATATCTAGCACCCTTTTTTCCGTATTTTGCGCACACACAGACAGACACACAGACAGACACACAGACAGACACACAGACACACAAACAACCAGTTTGTAAGACCCTAGACTAAAGTCAAGGGAACAATTGTTGTTTGCTGTATTCTAAGATACAGTGTCCATCATAATATACAGCTGAAAACTTGGCATATCGCTTTTCAAGAAAAACCCTTTATTTTTGTTGTGATGGGAATATTGATCTAAATGGATAAGTCGCTGCACGTTAAAAGAAGAAGAAGCAGAGAGAGAGAGCGCAAAAAAAGATTCTCAACCGGTGAGATGTAACACACCAGGGATGTCCATAATCACATGACTAATGACCGTTAAAAAGAAACTACGGTCGATGACCACGCCACGTTACGTCAAAAAGCGCCCTTCAATCTCAGATTAAAAGATGCTGGAATATCTTGAGAAATTTGATATTGGGAATTAATACAAAAGCCGCTGAAAACTTTTTAAATGTCTGATCAGCACGTGGCGTTATCTTTTCAACGGTCGTGAGATTACTGTTTCCAACGATTCACTTGTTTCTATAGTATAATCTGTTGCATTAGTTTAAAGGTCCTTCTTTAGTCACTATTGCTGCGTTCTAATAAAGCAGCTTGAATATCAAATATAAGAAAGAAGTGTTTAAAAATATAGATATAATAAGGAATAGCTGTAGATCGAACATTTAAGTTATCAATTTTTTTTAGATTATGGAAACTATTAAAAGTCCTCATAGCGACCAAAATATCAGAACATCTGTACCTCAAACATCACGAAAATCTATCACTCCTACCTCGTCATTAGCAGGAAAACAAATAAAATCAATAGTAACTTCACCACGCACTGTTATTGTTCGAAAAAAAGATTCTGGTTTTGGATTCAATGTTCGCGGCCAAGTTGGTGAAGGAGGATCAGTAAAATCGATCGGTGGCACGCTGTACGCCCCTCTTCAACATGTATCAGCTGTTACAGACAAAGGTTCAGCTGAAAAAGCTGGTCTTTGTGTTGGAGATAAAATATTAGAAGTGTATGTTGTGATTCTTTTATTTTTATTTGTGATACTTAGAACATTTTTTTCTTCTGTCAGAAATGGTGTCGATGTCGAGGGTTTGGCACACAAACAAGTGGTTGATCTAATTAAGAAAAGCGGTGATCAACTAACACTTGTTGGTGAGTTTCTTTTCTTTGATTCCCAATTTTGTTAGCACATACACATTATTTGTTCTAGTAATTGCATCAGTGAGTGAGAAATTGCATACGGATATTATTTCTGGTGATGATTCATCTGGAAGCTCAAATGATTACAGTGAAAGACGTTCATTGGCTATTACAGTACCGGACTATACAATGTTAGAAACACGTGATGAAAAATACTACGTAAGCATTCTCTCTGAATAAATCTGCAGATTAGAATTATCTTTAGCATCAACACAATATCCAAATATATGTACTCTTGCTAGTTTGGTGTCAAAATGTTTGAAACTATCACTTATCAGATATGGTTTCTGTTTAGGTATTCAATATTCATATTGCTGGTCGACATTTGTGTTCACGTCGCTACCGTGAATTTGCTTCATTGCATAACAATTTAAAACATGAATTTCCCGATTTTAGTTTTCCACCATTACCTAAAAAATGGCCGTTTAAACTATCCGATCAGCAGCTGGATGCACGACGCCGTGGATTAGAAGTTTATGTAGAGAAAAGTGAGAAGATCCCAATATTAGAATTAATAAATAACATCTGATTTACTCTTCAAATTTAGTTTGCTCAGTAAGAGTAATTGGAGACAGTGAATTAGTTCAAGATTTTTTATCAGCAGATGTTTATGAAGTACGCAGAAGTTTTTTGGTTAATATATTTGTTCATTCATTCAATTTTTGTTTATTTAGCGGGATTCAATTGCTGTTGATGTAGAAATTAAAATATTATTACCTGATCAAACTATTTGCACTGTTAAGGTGCAACGTTTTGCTACCGCGAACACTGTTTACCAAGTACGAGTTGCTACTCTTTGTTCTATCTGAATTGCTATATTTGGTACTTTATTGTTTTGTAGTGCGTGATACAAAAGATTGAATTACCCACAGAATGCGCGTCTTTATTTTACTTATTTGAAATCATTGATTACAGTTTTGGTAAGCATAAAACGAGTTGATTTTGTTCTTACAAGTGTTGCACTGATTGTTTTTTCGACAGAGATGGACTAAAGTTTTGGCCAAAAGTAGTAGAAACAGATACAACGGAAAGTAGCAAAAAAAAAACATCAAAATATTTAAGACAAGGAAAAAGCACTGTCTTCTACAGATGTTGTTGCTACAGTAGTCAGTGGTCTGCTGTATATGTTTGACATTAAATTTTTCTACGGTTGGTCAATTTTCTCTACTAACTATTAATAAATGTCTATTTTTAGAATGTTCTGTTAAATTTTTCAATTGAAATAATTTTCATTTTCGACGATAGTTTACGTCTACATCAGCTAAAACATAGAAGAAATCAGTCATAACAGCGTTTTTGCAGAAAATATTCGATAGAGTGCGCTAAAGGTATATCAGTATAATTGAAAATTTTATTAGAGATTAAACAGAACATCATTAATCTTACAAACGGAATGTTAATGTCAATAAAAAAATTTAATCATTACAGGAAAATTGTATCTGATTTAAAAGAAATAAATAAAAAATATAGGATAAGGAATAAAGTGAAGATGCACACATCGTACAAATTCCATGCTCTTAGATTTTATTTTCATTATTCAAAAGAATAAGATCTTGGAAAAGCTAGTGATATGTAAGAGCCAAATGATGAATACTAATACGTGATACCATTACTTCAGATTATGAAATAAAATCTGAAACACTTACGTAACAAAAAAGGATACTATTGTAACTGCGTAATCGTCTGTAAAAACCAAAAACGAAAATATTTTTTTACTGCTCGACATTTTTCTGTGGCAAAAAGTTACATGAAACTGTCAGTTTATTGTACGTATGTATTCGATGAAGTCTTGTCGTTGTATGATATTGCTACTATACCGTTGTTTGCTCAAATTTTAACAGAACCTAGCTCCGCTTAGAATTACAGAATATATTGATAGTTTCAGTTCGAAAATTCTGACGAAAAAAGCCAAAATCTAGGAATGAGTTGGTCCACTCTGTCTTTTCAGAATCACTGAATCGGTACTCAAAGTAGAAAGGTGTGAAGACATCTTGTTTTTGTTTTAGAACGTAAACTTCGATCAAATGAATATCCACATCAAATCTACGTACAAAATTGTTGTACAGCCAACACAACATGTCTTCGTTTGAGAAAATTTTTATTTTCTCCATCAGCCGAAAATGTTTTGTTAAAATATCCACTCACTCGAGAATATTTGTATCGACAGGTATAATAAAATATGTTCTATGCATTTTCTCTATAATTTAAAGCAATCTTTGATTTATGTTTAGGCAGTTGAACAGATAAGTCATTCAAATAGTGATATAGCTGTCGAACAACGTCCAATATTAAAAAATTTATCTCAAAATGATTTTATCAAATATGCACAAACAACGAATGATTACAATTCAGTGACATTTCCATTGTGTCCATGTAGTTCAAGAAAACAAAATGCATGCATAATAATGACAATTAATTATCAAAAATTATTAATGTTTGCGTGTAATACTGATGGAAAAATTGAACAAGATCAAGTAGCTGAATTTCAATGGAATGAAATTGTTGATTATTATACTGTTGATCAACAACAAAAAACTTGTGATAATAAAGAAAATTTATTTATATTTGAATATAAACGTTCGTCAATGAAAGGAAATAAAACTGTTCAATTATTAACACTCTATTCGCTATATATATACGATTGTTTTGAACGTGTGTTTAACGAATTAAACTTGGTTAAATACAGTGAAAAAAATACAAAAGATGAATTGCAATATTTAGTTGAGGATAAAGATATTTAGAGAGATTGTTTATTCTATATTGTATTTTCACATGAGGATTTACCTTAAATTTGACAAGATTTTTTTCTTATCTGATATAAACTTATAAGCATTTATTCGTTTTTAGCTAGAAACACATTAATTTCTTTTCTTTTGATTTAATAATGCTGGAAGAAAAAGAAAATTGGCTAACTCTTAGAGCTGGTCTCTAACAGTTTGTATTGTTCGATTTTGTCATCAGACTTCTACTTATTTATGCATAATGTTACTCGTTAGATAAAAAATAGTTTGTGTGTACATGTCATATATCAAAGTGCCACAGCACATTTCTATTTACGGGTAATTTTTTTTGCTTTTTTTTCTTCCTCACTTTGGCAATATGTTTTTTTTATAGTCATCACAATCGCTTTTTACGTGTGCTCAATTCTCTTATTACTGTGTGTGTATGTGTGTGTACGTGTGTTCAATAAGTAATTTTTGCAGTTAGTTAGAAAGCAAGCCTAATTTTCTCCTTTTTGTTGTTGTTGTTATTGACGTGCTGTAGGAATCTAAACTTTTTCCTTTTTGTTGCACCATTTTTTTTCTCCGTGACTACTTGGTTTTTTTAACCGGTGTACAAAATCTAGTTATTTTTTTGTCTCTGCTTATTTTAACGTGATACTGTGTCTGTTTGAGCAATCAAAATTTAGAAGAAAAAATAATATATAATCTGTACAGTTTTAAATATTTTTTAAGATTTTTCTCTCACTTTTTCAATCTCATATACCTATTTCTTTACTTCTGGTCAATCATAATATCGCAATTGTTATATTGTAATTTATACCTAATGTATATTTCTAGTATGTATCTTATCTTTTATTCTTTTTCTAAATCACCTGTTACACTTTTAATAGGTTCTTTTTTTCGTCCTATTTGTTTTGTTTTTTATTTACACAACGAGCAAGATAAATATTTTATATGTTACTCATTATATATATTCACATATACACACACATATACACACACATTTATCACATTTATATATACACATATATATATACAGATAGATAGATAGTCAGTGTTTTTTTTACTCTTATTTATTAAAAATGTTTTTTTTTCTGTTTCTTTTGAATGTTCAAATACGCAGTACCCAATATGAGTATTATATAACGAAAATAAATAAAGAACATTAGCTCATAAAGCAGTTGGAACACTCTTGTACAATAATTGTTATTGGAATGCTGAAGATTGTCAGTAGAGATGTCTGACTGATGTGTAATAAAAAAGAAATAGAACTTTTCTTAACATATGTCTAAATTATTCGTTTCTAAACTTCTGATAATTCTACTTGCAGCTGGTGAACATACGGTTTTTTATAAGTGAAACAACTGTTGATATAGAAGTAATGGTTAGTAGTGGCATGAGAAAATTTATCCGTCTCATTTATAATTCAGATTGAATTTTACTGCACATTGTTCATTATTCTAGATGCATTTTTCGATTCCTGATTCAACAGATTCGAAAGATTCAGAGTCTGGTGGTACATATACTCTCTATCATATTCATATAAACGGTACGCATCATTCAAGTTTACGATATTCACAATTACGAACATTTAATGAAAAATTACATAATTTATTTCCATCATCCACAAGTGCCATTCATCTATTTCCACCAAAAAAATTACTTTCATTATCTACAAATGAAAAAGAAGATCGTCGTATATCATTAGAACGTTATTTACAATCAATTGTACAAAATAAATCAATTGTTAACTCAAAATATTTTCAGGAATTTTTTTTACATTCTCAACGTGAAACATTTCAACATCTATTAGAAGGTAAAGAGAAAAACGATGAAAAATTAGAATTCCCTATATTTTTATTAAATGGTCATCAATTAAAAATTCAAATATATCCGACTGATGATACCCAACGTTTATTGGATTTATTAGCAACAAAAGTTGGACTATCAGCAGACTTTTTATCCTATTTTGGTTTATATTTAATTAAAAATGATGATAAATCGACAGTAGCGACTGATATATTCCTTGTTCGACAATTGATAGAATTTGAAGCACCTTATTTATCATTAGAATATCTTAAACGTAAAACAAATAATTTAAACTATCGCATAGTATTAAAAAAATGCTATTGGGATGTGGCCCGTGATAATCTATTATTAGATGATCGAATAGCAAGAAATTTATTATTTGTACAAGTGCAATACGAATTGGAACATAATAATTGTTTAGCAAAAAATGTACCAAACGATATTAAACATCAACTACTAACATTAAAAGAAAATAATTCATTTAAAGAATATTTATTATTAGCAAAACATTTGAAATATTACGGTCATTTAGTTATCAAACATTGTTCTCTATTATATCCGATCACGAGTGATCAACAACCACAACAATTGCAAAAATGTGAATTGGCAATTGGTAATAATGAACTTATATGTGTATTTTCTGATATCAACAAAGATATAACATTTAAAGTAACAAAAATAAGATGTTGGCGTGTGACGAGTAAATTAAAACAATCAGAACAACAACCACAACGAAAACGTTCAATAATTAGACGATTATCAACGAACACTACAACTACAACAAACGGTACGTCACATACGCCGGTAAATGATGAAGATATGGATCTTTCATTCGAATACCTAGTGTCAAAAGATTCACTGAAATGGATTACAGTACACACATTACAAGCAACATTGATTAGTACATTTTTACAAAATATGGTGGATGAAATAATAAAAAAGAGAACTGAACAAACACACGGTGAAAATAAATCGCCAGTAACACCAAATCCTCGCCAATCACAAGAAGAAAATAAGTCGAAAATAAAATTTGTAAATGAACCTTCTAAACGTACTCCTTCTGATCTATCACCAAATAATACGATATTTAATTATGATGATGATGATGATTTATAAATCTAAATTTAATAACTTAGTAGAAAACTATTTTTTTTACATTATAAATGACTAGTTCTGGTTTTATGTCAACTGTTTAATTACATTTTCGGTTAGTTACTTGCGTATGCCTTGCAGACAATTCGTTAAAGAGACATTCCATCTTTTTCATTATTTTTCTTCGAAAATATATTGAGAGAGATAATATTAAAGTACGTCAACGATTCTTCCAAGACTAGCTTTGTCTTTACAGTCAATCTTTGCCATATGCTTCTGTTCCACTATTTTTGTGTCTTTTTCTTTTCCACAGACTTGGTGACGAATGATATTATCTGGTTAAAGTATTTTACTTTTTTCCGTCCGCTGTCTTTTTGATTACTTTTTTTTTAAAGATAGATTATTATGAATGCACACAGTGAATTATGAACTTTATTATCTTTCTTTTTTCTCAAATTTAATTTGATTTAATGTATGAGAACCATGCAGTATCGTTATTTCTTTTTCTGTTGTAATTATTGTAAATTTAACTGAATAATTGTCAATCACTAGTCACCTAATATGGCACTGTATTATTATATGCATTTGTTTTTTATGAAATATCTTCCGTATTTTCTAATATTATATTCTGAATAAATTTTGAAATTTCAAAGTAACCTGAACTGATTTTGAGTGAATTACAAAGTTTTAAAGGTTGTATGAAAATAGTGTTACTTTACCTACAGTAGATTTACACTAAGTATTTAAAATTTAATAAAAACACATAAAAATTATGACGAGATTCGCTATGGTCAATAATCTATATTCCAAGAATTATCTGTGGGATCAGTGTAATGAATTTTCAAAAAAGATTTCTTTAACGCAAACTTCTGAAAAATAAAACACATATTTATTCGTTTTTTACGTCCTGAAAACCTAATTAGAAAAAATGTGAACAATTTTAGTTTTTACAATTTTATTATTAGTCATCAAAGTGGCACTTTGGTACCAACAAAAACTAAACTTTTTTGTAAGTATTATTAAGATACAACTCGAGTGAAAAGTTTACATAAAATCAAAACAAAAAATTAAGCAAAACTTTATCGTACGAAAAGACTTCTAACATTTTTCCACGATCTAAACATATTTGTTTGGTGAAACCATTATTAACGGTAAATATTTTTCTGAGAATCTAATCTTATTCGTTGGCGCGAAGAAACTATGTACCTTGCTTAATATTTATCAATATTAATGATATGAAAATGTTAAATTGTTAAACGATTAATTCATCAGCAAGAATCAATACAATATTATTCAAATGTCAAATTTTAGTAAGAGAGAGCGACGATGACTTATAATTAAATTCAATCATCTAGAGGTCAGTATGCTTATTTGATCTATCGAACACATACATTAATTATGTTAGACTTTTGTGCGGCACACATATACAACGCCGATTGTTGCAAAATATGACTACAATTGAATACACGCATGCAACTACTACTGATTATTATTATTTAGATTAAAAAACAACAATAAAAAAAGTAATGAGTAATGATGGTGGTAATGATAATGGATTATTTGCTTCTATCAAGGTAATAATTATGATTACAATAATATTCATCGAGTTATAGAATTATTCTATTTTAGTCATTTTTCAATCATAAAAATTCTATCATCATATTAGGTGCCGCATGTGGAACGTTTTTTTTATCAACGTTATTACTGATCATTATCCTTGTTCGACTGATAAAAGGAAAAAAACTGTACAAGTAAGACGAAACACAACACGAGTGCTTGGCTACGACGAAAATAAAATGTATCCTTGCAGGAGGCACCAATTTATTTTAGCTGGTTTAAGATAAAATGTAAGCAAATCAGTATGTAATTATATAGTTTTTCTACGGTCCGAAGATAACATGCAGAGTGCCAAGACATTGTATTACAGCTCCTATCGGAGATTTGTATAGACTACTTGAAGTCAAACTACTCTCTTGTCGAAGATATTTCGCTTGCAAGAGAATTTAATCATCAATATTAGAACCGCACAGGATACATGCTACTGAAGATACATTTTAAGGCACAATTGTCTTCTGCAGAAGAATAATATCGTAAAGCAGTTGTTGCCAGAGCACTTCCGAACATATCCCTCCTGCTATCTTACAAGACGTTTACAGAAGTCCTAATGTCTACAGTACAGTTCTGATGCGATCCTATTTCAAATGTGTTCGCGATACGATGCAATCTAGAAACGATATATTCTAATGCACATTTCTTTTTACAGTGTAAAGCAGAATAGATCATTAATCATGTTTATCAAACGGTACTAACACTATATTTAGATCACAAGCTGCAGGCAAACATCATCAAGATGATTTTAAATTGAATTCTTTAGTTGGCTCAACACATGGTGTTGCCACCGATGATTTGAAAACGTACCGTTATCAAAAACCTTCTAATATGGGAATAACGTCTAATCAAATAGGAACTGCAAATAATATGTCTACGACAGCAGCGTCAATCATTCAAGAAACATCCTTGAAAAAAGTTCAAACAACATCACCATTATTCCCATTGATTCCACCTGCACCACCTCTACCCCCACATGAAGGCGCATCATTTAACAATTTTGAAGATGAATTGCGACGAACATGGAGAGAAAAAGGTATATGGTGTATTGCTAATGTACATGTCATGGATTCGATGAAAAGATAGATTCAATGTTGGTCATAAAAAATTTACACAATTTCGATTCTTCTGTATTTAAAGATTTCTTTTTTGATTCATTCCGTGTAGGCATTTTGCAACAACAGCAAGCACAACACCAGCAAAATAGTAATTTTTTATTTAATCGATTAAATCATGAATCAAACGTGGCACCATCATCAATAACAACGATGCCACATACTGAACAAGAGCCGCCTACTAGTGTCGGAAATGATCAAGAAGAAGTCGAAACCGTAAATGAAGTATTAGGAATGGAAGAACGAGGTGGAAAAATCTATTACAAAGTAAATTTTACTGGACATCCATCTGATTATACAGCTTGGGTTTGTGAAGAAGATTTAATACCAGAATAAGACAACTCATTTCATTTCTTATCTAGTGAATACAGATAGAGTACGCAAAGTTTTGTTTGTGATTCTAAAATAGATTTCTTACTCAAGTGTATTTTATTTTGGAATGTACGTAGTTTCATGTTCTATTCTATAAAAAAGAATAATTTGTGGTTTATATAAAGAAGTGAAAACCGTGCATCTCACGGGTGTGTTATAAAGAATTGTAGTCTCAGTATTTTCAATTTTCTCTTCTCCCGTACTCAGTTTTAAACGCTGAATTGGGGAAATATATTTTAAAAACTATAGAAGAAAAAGTAAGACGAAAAATCGAACTTCTGTGAAACTGAAGGATTTTTTTTCCGATTTCTGGACCTGAAAAACTTGTTTCCAAAAATTAAGAAATATATTTCTGAATCAGCTCGCGATGCTCTATCGAATGGTGTATAACAAAGTCGAAAAAAAATTTTGCTGTATTTCTGCATTACGCACACCTTACAGTTAAACAGATAAAAATTGTGAATAGTTCTTTGTATCGGTTAATTGTATAGAAAAAGAACACTGTTTCTGTATTATATGTCTGTTAGATTCGTATCAATTAAATTTATAGTTGTTGTGTCGTCATGATCAAAAGAGTAGTTGAGTATAATGGTGATTGGAATATGTTTGACTTTTATTTTGTGATGCTTTGATGATGTTTTACATTCGTTTTAAAAGGAAAGATCGAAAAATCATAAACGACTTTGATCTCTCGGCCATTTTTTCTATCCCTTCGTTCTACAATATGACAATGATAGCTGTAGATGCACAATAATCTCGCCTATCTGATGGCAAAAAACATTTTTCAAAATAGTTAAGGTTGAAAAAATAATTTTTTATTGTACAGGTATCGTATAGAACCTATTGATCCAACTGTTTAGTTTTCTCAGAAACAATAGAGATGTGAGGCTTCAAAAATATATAGAAATGTGTGCCTTCTAAAACTCTATAATTATCTATTATTTTCGTGTTAATTAAACCATATTTTAAAAACCGGCGGTATCCTTTACAATGATCAAATATGGAAAATTAAAGATCTATTAAAAATCAATAGAGAATGTATCGGAAGATTACTTTGCCCGCACAATGGCTAAAAAATTCCAAGGATTTCTCCATTCACTGTTACAGGGTTTCGTTCCTAATTGCTCTTTCTCAATTCGTCTCACAAATTTTTTTCTCAGTTCGTCCGAAATAATTCGTCCCACTTTTTAAATACTTATTCTGCAAAAGTTATCTTATATTTAACTTAACTTCCAGAAATGGAAACAATATTATTAATATATTGTCTTTCTTTCATATGAATTTTTACGGCCCTTCCGCATTTTATGACTAATTGTAGATTTGTTATCTCCACTTTTTCATGAGTACTTTTCAATTTTTCATCAATTTTATTGTAATTTTTTTCCGTTTACGAGTTTGGACTTCAGATTCTTTTGTATGATGGTGCTGAAATGCATGTTCTTGACGTAATAGATCAGTAAATTCATAAATATTGTGGATGAACAGGAAATACACTTCTAAGCTTTTATTATACCCTTCTACGTCGTTTACTTTTTTCAGTTTCAGTGAAACTTAACATTGCACACTTCACTCGCATGACAACTTTTGGTCAAATGTATTTGACCAAGAACTTACGCAGAATAAGTATTTACTGGACGATACTGCGACGAATATATTGGAATGAAATACTGGAACGAGGTTACTGGGATGATTTGAGACAAAAAAGTGGGACGAATTGAGAGAGAGCAGTTAGGGATCAATCGAGAGGACACGCTGTTACAGCGACTAAATATCTTATTTTAAAGTAGACTGCGATAAAAACAGCACATAGCGTTCCATATTTGCACTAGCACGACATCTGCCAGGCGATTTGTTATTCGTCAATTCACGCAGCTTCGACACAGCTGAACTGTGAACATATGTTGATACAAAAGAAAGAATTGATGCAGAACGAAACGTTAGTGTGTTCTCATCTGGTAACGTGAAAAGAGTTCTTACCTAATCAACTCAGACTACATTTGGACTTTTGATTTACATTGAACAATTTTAACTGAATGTCTCCTTGTAGGTTTTTCATAGGATTTGTTTTCTGCTCGTAAAGAGCAGGGTAATCACTTTACTTCATCAATTTCTTTATTTTAGCACTCACAACTAAGCAAAATCCAAAAAAAAGAACATACGATCATGTCGGTAAGCCATCCTAATATTACTTTTTTATAATGACAAAGTTGTTTTGAACTTCTTTTTCACTTTATAATTGCAGACGACGACAATGTTAAACCAGAGAATAAGAGTAACAAAAAGCGTTTGATAACAAGTGAGTTTTGTTTAATATTTAGCAAAGAGGTTTGCACGTAAAGCATGTTCTTTTTATAGTATAGTACAAAAAAACGTACGTTAGAGAAATGGATAACGCGATGAGCAAGTTTATTTGACGCAAAGGTACGCACAGATTTTGCTCTATAGTGCTTGATGTGCTGATAGATTGTGCAGACTTTATCTTGCTTAAAAGAAGTACATTACATTTGTTTCCTTCGTCTATTCTAGAAGATGATGTGAAACATCCTGTCAGTGCAACAGTTCCAATATTATCCATTGCACCATTATCAATAGCAAAAGGGGGAGATGTATTAGCTGTCGGAGAAAATGGTATGGGCCAAATGGGGATGTCAAGTAATATAGCAGAGAGACAAAATGCTCAACCTGTTCCAAAAATACCAGAAAAAATTGTGCAAATTGTTACCGGACCATTACATAGTGTTTTGTTAACTGAGCAAAAAAATGTTTACAGTTTTGGATGTAATGATGAGAAAGCGCTAGGACATACAGCAAATGATGATGATGATTCAGATGACGAAGATAAAGCATACTTCGGTCGAGTTGATTTTTCAAAAGTTATTACGGATAAAAATGAACAAATTATCCAGGTAGCTGCTGGTGACAGTCATACAATAGTATTAACAAATTTAGGAAAAGTTTATGGTACGTTGTTTGACAAGACAGTACTTGAACGACATTACTTTTGTCCCATTTAGGTTGGGGGACATTTCGCAGTTCAACAAATGGCCCATTTGGTTTAATCAAGAAGAATCGAATCGAGAGTGATCCAGTGGAAATTCATGTACCAGAGAAAATCATTAAAATAGCCAGTGGGCATGATTTTGCTTTATTTCTGAGTGAAACCGGGCAAGTTTATTCGTGCGGTAACGGCGAAACCGGTCAACTGGGACGATTGAATCGCTATACATGTGAATATGGAGGCAGAGCCGGAACTGGTACGTAATAACCATTACATTAGAGTATTTGTACTTTTTTTTTCCTTTTTAGAACGTTTAATTCAACCATCTTTAATTCAGTATAATCGTAATGGACTATACGAAAAAGATTTGATGTTTGAAGATATTTTTGCAAGTTCTCATGGATTTTTTTTGAAAGTGTTCAAGGAAAATCATATACTTGCAGGTGGATTAAATAATTTTCATCAATTAGGTATGATATTTTCTCTTTCATATGTTCAACTTGCTATTTTCTTTTAATGATCGTTCAAAGGTTTTGAGTCAACTGAGCCCGTATATTTTCCAGCAATTGTCCCGTCTCTGGAAGGACATCAATGGAAAAAATTTGCTGGTGGCCTGCATCATACATTGGCATTAACTAACGATGGTATGTTAAAATGATTGCAATATTCGTGTGTGTAAATAACACCGCTACAGTCCGACAGCTATGGCATACCAATAAGATTAAAAATAGAATAAATATACAGACAATTATACTGCCTATTCGTTCCAGTTTTGCATATTTTTTCGAGCTTTGTTTTATTCAAATCATGCATGTCCATTATTTTGTCGTTTCCTGCTGTTTTATTCGTCAAGTTAGCCCGCTTCTTTACTTATTAGACTTCCATCAACTACAACTAACTGCTGCTCAACGTCTAAAGATTTCAGAATTATAAGGCATAAAGAGTCGAGAATATGCTCTGTAATTGGCTATGTAGTTTTGACTAATCGTATGTTTTAGGTCAGGTCTATGCGTTTGGTCGTCATTATGAAGGTCAATTAGGACATGAAAATCTCGATAAGCATCTTGTTAAGCCAAAATTGATTGAAAATATTCCAGAAGAAGTTTGTGATATATCGTGTGGAAATCATGTCTCATTTATTCTGGCTAAATCTGGCAAAGTGTATTCATTCGGTGATGGTACATCGTTACAGCATGGACACGGACATCAAGATATAAAAATACCAAAATTAATATCATCGAAATATATGGATATTAAACAAATTCAAATGATAGCAGTTGGATCTCAACATACACTTTTTCTAGCTGCTGACACAGCAGCGTCACATTGATTATTCAAATTGTTTTTTCTTCACAACTTATGTATCACTTATTTTTCCAAACAAAAATAATAAACATTCCTTGGATGCTTGACATTAATTTAACATAAACTCACCAAGATGAAGGGAACGCTGAAAATTGTTTTTTATCCTTATCCAAATGTGAAGGAACAAATCTAAATGAGAATAGATTTTACAAATATTTTGTATTCCTTTCGTTTACCTTATATGAACAGTTTAAGTTGGCTAACACGCAGAGCGTTGTTATATTCAACATGCATTTTGTTCATGTTCATCTACTAAATGATGTTGTAGTAGGAATTTTGTTACATTAGTCATATGTCCAATTTGTGTAACAAGATGTTTTTAATACCAACTGGCTATTTCAATCACATTTAAACAATTCAAAATCAAAAACTTAGTGAGAACTGCATATTACACAGATTTAAATACATCATTCATTACCGACGGCGGTAATGGTCATACAATTCCATTCTATCAATCATTGAGCCATAATTAGGATAGCAAATACTAACAGTCATTATTTTTCTCAAGAATCGCTATACTATCCATTACAATCAATAGCCTGTCTACGGGCTGGTGTACATAAAGTAACCACCGATAATTGTCGACAGCATCGAGTGAAGCACTACTACACTTAAAAAATGCATGCAAATATTTGATCGAAGCAATGAAATAGAGATCTGGAAGGATGTAGCAGGAGAAATCAGATTCTTATTTTGCATCATAAACTATCTCAACTCATGTCAGTAAAGAAAGAAACTAAATGATATTGTCAATAACAGAGCATATAAAGAGAACAAAATAATTACACTTATGTGGACTCCGTTTAAGCGATTAGGTCTTCGCGTATCGTTTCACAGCAGAAACTTCATATTACTTTAAAATTTTGCATTTATCATTACGAGTCACTTTGAAACAATATTACTAGCCACGAGAATATTTTTAATAATTTGCATTCATTTCTATAAAGTTTGAAAGTAAAATAGCAGGTACTTTCACCGGGAATATGGGAGAATATGCTCCCATGTGGGCGAAAAATTAGTGTATCGCAAACCAAAAGCGCAATTGTATGTTTTCTATTGTTTCATGTGCAATGTATAGTTTATGACTTAAGAGTGCTCTTTTGGAATTATTTCGCTTGTATTCTGGAAGAAAGCTTAAATAAAATCATAGAACTTGAGCTTCTATTGACAGAAATTATAGTTGGTGTTCTTTCAAGTATCGATGAGGCAGACTCCGGAAGTTAGGTATATGTACAGTATTTCCCAACGAAACTTATTTGATAATATTTCCACTATTATACAGGAGACTTGCTTTGATCTGTATTAAAAATTGCATCAAGCATAACTGTAAAGTCGTTATTGCTGCTACAGCATTGACTACTGGTGAAGGTGATCGATTTTATTCGTTTTTCATAGACAAATGTTTTTATATATTGTGCCCAGTGATGCACATTGTTGTTCAGTACAACACAACCCGTTACTTGAATATCAATAAATGTTTTATCTACTGGTAGAATTAGTATCTGGACTGGTATACGAATGTAGTTATTTGATATTGTAAGGCATTTCGACTTACAATACCAAAGTTGATATGATAGAATACAAAGTTGGCGAGTAATACATTTTAAAAAATGGTAATCAGTCAAAACTGATCATCAATTTGCTAATTAGTACTAAAAGTCGACTTGAGAGTTTAAGACA